AAACCTAGTTACATCCAAATTAAAGCTGCTGCTCTATGAATATCACATTTCTAAAATTAATTAAGGTTATGACAAAGTATCATATTATTAGTGCAGAAGTTGTAAATTTTGTGACGGTACTTGCAACAATATTGGGGTAGGTTACAACCGAAAAGAAATGAGGTGGGAGGAATGAGTAGAGGTGCCAATTCGTGTGTTCAGATTGGCTTCGATGAAGTCAGGTCAGGTCTATTTTTAAATATGAGTCATGCTAAATTATTATATCCAAATAAGCAAGTTACTAACTGAATTTAAATTTTTTTAAATTACTTTTGAATCGGGTTGATCAGCTAAGTTTTTGACACTTCTATAGAGTTATTAGGAGCTAAGGAGGCCGGAGTAACTGTCTAGAATTATGTTCGGCAATAAGGTTGTCATTTTTTTTTAAAGGAATTTTTGGGAATTGAAATCAAGTGTAGTTAATTAATCTACTTGTTATTTTTCTACTACTACTACGTTATGAGTTTAGCAGGCCAGCTATAATCATTACGAGTTCACCACTGGGAATTACTACATTTTTACTATTAATATATGCAATTATGCATCGATAAAAATCATATACAAGTAATAAAATTTAGTATTATGAAAATATACAGTAGTTATTAGTTTAGGATTAAGGATCCTTAATTCCTTGATACTTACAAGTATTAATTATGCTAATTTATAATTAATTAGAAAACTTTTTTAAATGGGTAATGCTATATGTAGCCCTAAGGGTTATATATCAGCATTAAATACACTCTTAAAAAATTAGGAATTCATGACAAAAACACGCGTAAATCGGTATAATTAGTGTTTATATTTTTATAATTTCCTAAATTTATACGACTTTTTAGTGTGTATTCAATGCTTATATGTAGTTCTAAAGGCCATGTATAGCAATTTCCTTTTTAAATCTACCTGACACACTTTCACATTAAATATGAGTGATTTGATACATTTAAATCTAAACATATGCAAGTTATCTTAAAAAAATGTGACAAGATTTGCAACTATTTCTTAAATAGTAAATTGTTTTAACATGTGCACTTTAAGAATTGTTTAAGCATGAATATTATGAATTGATTTGTTTGTAATAAATTTTGGAAAATTATGAATAATTTGAATGTTTTCTATTTCGCTTCTCAATCATGTGGACTTAAATTCACGAAAATCTGCCTATCACTAGACTAAAGGTTCAATAGCTTTCATAGCCATGTGAAAATATCAGAAATAATTAGGAACTTTCACAATAATTGAGTTTAATTAATTACTAAATTACCCTCTTAACACGTGGAGACTGGATAGTGGAGATTGGCGTAATTTAATATTTGAGCATGGAGAATCAAACAAGGGAACATCTTGGCCCCACAATAGACAACAAAAATAAGTTGAGTTGGTACTAGTTACTAACTAGCTCTAGACGCCGCGTATTTCTGACTAATCAAGAAATCTTCCCAACGACTCAATTATATCTCCAAAATTACAATTTACTCGTTAAAAAAATATTACAAATAAGCTACTACCTTCGTCCCTTAATTACATGTCTACTTTTCTTTTTTAGAATTTCAAATTTACATGTCTATTTCTATTTAAATAATGTACTTTTTAATAATATACCCTCTTTTTGATGAGCTGTCATCATTTTTTTTTTTTGATACTTTTCACATAATTTTCCAACACTTTCTCTCTCCATCTTTTCAATAATTACCAGCTACCTTTTCTTTCTCTCTATCTCTCTCTAACCCCACATGCATATTTGTACTTCTCAATCATGAGTTTTAAGGAATCTTTAAGTTCCTTAATTCTCGTGGAAAAATGGAAAGTAGGCATGTAAATAATGAACAGAGGGAGTACTAAATATGCAAAAAAGTTGTCACATTTGATTTCAATCCTAAATTAAATCAGTTTTGTTGGATTATCATAATCCCAAAATTTGAACTTGGCCAACATTAATTTCAAACTTTCAATCCTACGCCCTCCGTCCCATATATAATACATAAGATGTTGGACTTTTTTCACTATTTATGCATTAGCTTTGACCATAATTTTTTTACCAACATAATATAAACATATTTTATCATAAAATATGTTGTTAGATAAATATTAATATAAAGTTTTATAAAATAATTTTTATTAATATTTAATTATATAAAAAAAAAGTTAAACTAGTGCATTGGCATGTGTGCATATGGGATAGAGGGAGTACTTCCTAGGCATTTAGACTCATTTCGCATTAGTAAGGTCTTGTTCTTTTGAACTGCTTTGCTCTACTTTACTGGCTCAATCTGTTCTGCACTACTCTGCTTGCCTAGAAGCTCAAAAGAACAGAAGCTAACTATGAAGTAGTAAAATGAATTCCGAAATTGATCAAGTACTACTGTACTAGTTGGAGCAACTCTAAATCAAGTACTATACCCCATGAAATCGAAAGTGAGATCGAGCCCCCATTGAAAACAAATTGTATGCTTCACAATAATTTATAAGTCATGATACTAAATATAATTTAACTTTCTGCAAATCCTCAATCCTCAAATTCTACTCAATTTATTTTTTATTTTTTTTATTTTTTTTTTATTTTTTTTTATTGTTTTCTTGAAAAAATATAAACACCAATAGCTATCTATTCAACAAAAATTTCCAATAATTTTCTTTAGCAACCTTTTTGTTTTCTTTTTTTTTTCTTTTTTCGAGGTACTAATTTATTTTAGCAACTAAAAAAAGTCTAAGATAGTTTTTTTGTTGCAAAAAATGTACGTTGTACATTTTAGTTTTAACTCCGGTACGTTAGATAATTAGTTAATTTATTACTTAAAATAATATTAAAATTGGAATGTATGTTAAAAGCTCTTCGCATCGATTAGTATAATTAATGTTTATTTTACTTTAATGTTTTCACTTTTAGTTTACTTATTTTATAGTCCAGAATGCTCGTTAGCTTTTGTCTTATAAATAGGTAGGATGATTTTGAAACTAATTTGATTTATTTCAATTAGCTACAGAGGGGACCTTCTGATAGAAATGTATGAAGGAATTAGTTAGAAAGCTTGATTATATTGAAGAGTATACAAGAGTATTTATGGTACATAAGTAAGCATTAGACTATGACTAGATACACTAGAGTATTTGTCTAGGTACATTAGTTAAGAATAAGGGATATATTTGACTATCAACCTAAATGAGTAAATCAAGGGATTACACAATAAACTATAAATAGTAATTAATAATGATAATAAATCATCATTATCCTTTACACCTTCCACCGGGGCCATTAAGGGCCCAACCCCCGATAAATTGTTGTAATTAATTAGTTAATGAACTTAAATACTCTTGTTTTACTTATAAAATACTAGGGAGTAGTGATTAATTTTGAGTGAGAGGTAAATTTTAAATCCCGACCCCTCTAATATTTTTGGCCAAGATCCGCCACTAATTAGTTAAATAGGATGATTTTGAAACTAATTTGAAGGTAGGGTGATTTTGAAACTAATTTGATTTACATATTTCAGTTCTAGATTGTTGGAACTAATTACTACCGAGTCAGTCACTCAGACACAACCAAAAATATAGAAAAAAGATGAAAGTATAATCCTAAGATCCTTCAAAAAAAACAAATTTTTTTTTTTTTTTTTTGATAGATTCAAAAAAAAAACAAAATTCTAATCATAAGAGGTTGGAAAATGGTATTCTTGAAAAATAAGTAATGAGGTGAATTTATAGATGCCACGTACGAATAGTCGAATATAGAATAGAGAATAGAGAAATCTAGATGAGATCAAATCCTTGTTGGCAGTGGTGGGTCCCTCTTCGCATGGTTGTTCCATAAACATACAGCATGCATTCACGAGAAAGACTCATTGTCACATAGGTCATCTGTAATCTGTATTGCTTGCAACTCTTCGGCTATGTTCATTTTCCTTCAATGGAACAGTACCAATATTTGCTAGCTTTAACAAACTACTCCGTATTACTCGGTACTCCGTATTATTTTAAGAATATTGCACGGAGTAGTAATATTTTTAAAGTATTTATTGCTATTTGATATTTTCATCTACGAAGTAGGGTATATAATTTAATGACAAATAACAAAAATTCACACTGGAAATAATCTTGAATATTCTCATTGCAAGAATACTCTTAGCATATACTTCCATTACGTTTTTTATTTTTATTTTATTTTACTTATTTATTAATTTTTAACAAACTTCCATTGCTTTTAAATAGATATAATGCATTTCTTTAGCTACAATTATAACTTATTATACAAATAAAGTAGTAAAGTGCACGCTGATCTTTTTACACTATTTATATACTTGTGAGATTTATAATAAGTAAATTGACATTTTTTTTTAATATTAACTCGTGAGATTTAACAATGAAGGTTTTATTGACTGCAGAGTAAATAAATATATACAAGCAGACACTCTTATTGAGACTGTTTTACAAGATAATCACTTTTCATTTCTCTATTGCATAACAATGCTTTTAACACAACCAGTTGTATCATGCACATAATACACCATCACATATTATATTCATTTAGAAAATTTCTCCAAAAAAAAGTATTATAAATTGTTACAGTATAACTTTGTTGCATCAAAGAAAAGATTGTCGAGATACAACAAGATCAACCATATGAATTACAATATAAATTACCTTTGTTAGTTGTCCTTAAACTTTGTAAAAATGCTATATTCCTAGCATTTCTTAAAATATTCCAAACTGGATTCCTCCCAAAAGCTAAAAGTACACAAAGATGAATTAATAATGAAAGAGGATAATCTAAAGAAAAAATGAGAATATTCGAGCATATTATACAAGTATGAAGTATATCCAAAAAGTATCACAACCAAAAATAACAAGGTAAATTAATTTTTGAGAAAATCATTGATCAAACAATAGTAACAATCTGACGTGGAACTTAGCTGTCTACTCCTAGTTCACCATATGCGCGGCGACTCGATGGTCCCATGTTGATCCAAATATGTGGGACCCATTTTCAAACATCATTCGCCTTATAAATATAACTATAAAACCAACCCCTTAAAATTCACATAAAACAACAAATACCATCAAATTTTGTGGTAACAAAAATAAACCTACTACTAGAATATCCCTCCCTTTCTTTCTTTCTTGTCCTACAACCTATAACACGTGTGATATTATTATACATGGCTATCACCGGAGCACCGGGGAGGTTCCCGGCGGGGCGCCGGGTGTTGGCTTATGATACTTCGATGGGCGATGAGAAGTTGGAGTATTGCGACGAGCTAGCGGTTAGCTCGTCGGATTCGGTGTTCGGGTTTTTGGAGGGGTCTATTGAGAGTACCACGAGTAATGAAGGGTATCATCAAGAGGGTGATGCTATATTTGATGAAGAGGAAGAAGGGGAGAATTCGGGGAATATCTTTGAAGAAAATAAGACTTTTTGGGAAAATCAGCATAATCTTTTGCAGGTAACATTTTATCTTTGTTTTGTTTTGAGTTTTATATTAATTAGCTAACTTTTTTGGGTTGGTTATATAATAATCAATCATTTCACATACTTCGTAGTTAATTTCATGGGGTTCTCTCCTAGAAATGTCTTTTTAATTTTATTTATAGGGAAATTTCAAAACACCCCTGAAAAAGGCTAGAAATATAAAACAGAGTTGGTTGAATAAGTACGACTTTGAAATGTTTCATGCAAATTTTTGTTTTATCTAGCTATTTTTTTGTTCCGTTCAATTTCCAAAATTAAAGTTATTGTACCAACTGATAATATGTATAGATTATTGAATGTATTTGGTTATTAAGTTTGTTAGCTAGGATTAATAACTTCATTACATAACTATGGTAAATCGTTCTAATTGAGGTCACTTTGAGTTGATAATTTTGAAACCAAGTTATTTTTTAATACGAAATTATAATATATGTGAGGTTTCTGTCATAAAGAAAATATGATTATGAGATAACATATGAACTTTTGCATGAGATTGTCTCGAACTAATTTATTACTAATAATCATGTTATGATAAATTACAGGCAACATTGTGCCGGACGACATCTCTAGAAACGGGTATTAGAAATGTGACCAAAGAGGCATTGAAAGAGTTGCAAGATCAAGGGCATTATTGTAAATGCGGCAAAGCGGTGGCGGGAAACAATTGCCGAAGTTGCATGATAAGAGAGGTCTCTAGTAGGCTTCGAATAGCCGGATACAACAGCGCGATTTGCCGGACAAAATGGAGAAGTACACCAGAAATCCCTGCAGGTATAAATTCGAATTGTTCATATCGTAAATAATATTATCTCCGTTTTTTAAAATTATTTCCATTAATATATACTACCTCTATTTTTTAGTTGACACGTTTTGACTTTGGCACTATTTACACTTTTTTTTTGACCGTATTTTGTGATTTATACGTAATGAAAAATATAGTCATGTGAGGTTTTGTTAGATTCGTCACGATATATATTTTCAAAATATCAACTTTTTATAATTTTTGTTTTTCAATAATTAAAGATATTAACGGTTGAATATGTGCATTGACAAACATAACTATAGAAACGTGTCAACTAAAAAGAAAAGAGGAAGCATAATATTATCTGTCCCCGTAATTAATAGTCAAGTCGGAGTAATTTTAACAAGTACCAATTTAATGTCAATAACTATTAACTCGTATAAATATATGTATGATTGCCATATTATAATTGCAACTGTCAATATGACATATTCTAATTCTAAATAAAATAAAAATAGATAAAGTGAAACAAATAAAAATATTTGTACTCCGTTCTTAGTTACCAAATTGCTAACTTTACACTGCTTAATCAATGCGTCAATGGTCAAAAGTGTCAAATTTAATTTTGGAAGATTATCTAGAGTATTCAAATTAGTTAGTTGTATGTGCTGGATCTGTGTCATTTGATAAGTATTTTGAACAAGTTTTGGATCGAATTTGAAGGGTCTGCCTACCTTTAATTTCTTATACCTTTTCTTGTTTGTATTTTTTTAATCTTATTTATATGGTGGACTAATTTGAAAGTTGGTATAGATCTCATTCAATGATATGTACATGTAACGAGTATTTGGAACATCTAGTATATAGTGAAAATATAGTACCTCAAAACTCAAAAGTTTATAACGAAAAGTCTGAAAGCTAAAAGTCGATGAAGATGTCAGCTTATCATATAATTTAAATTCTTTACTTCTTTGATATTAATTACTATATAAAGACTTCTAGAAATAATACATTATTCTATACTTCATGATTGGTTAAAGTTTTAGCTAACTAACCACCTCTAATTGTTGGCGCTTATTAAAAGTGTTAATTTTTTTTTTTTTTTACTGCCCTTTGTCTTTACTATCTTCATCAATTTGTAGAAAGGAATCTGTTTCTCATATAAGGGGCGATAATGCAAGTTGTTTGTTGGTTACTCTACAATTAGATCTTTATGGACTTGGATCTAGATCCAGCCAGCCTAACTTAAGTGGGATTGAATTGACTATTGATCCATAGTTTGAATTTACTTAAATAAAAGATGTAGCATTATAACTCCAAAACCCACTGCACACTTAATTAGTAATATACTAAGACAAAGACGAAAACACCTATGAAAAAATGAGAGTAGCACCCTAGACGAACCAATAAAAATTACAGGGATGTATATAACTTTAATACATTCTCTACGCTATAATAGAATTTGGAATGAATGCTTAATCACAAGTTGATCAATGCTATGATATTTGAATAAGTTTAATGTTTTTCACTTTTGGTTCTTATATACAGCTCTAAGGGTTGTATCACTTGTATGTGTATCGTCTTTCTCTTGACCTTTAAGTGACATGTTAGAGCTCGAATTATTTTTGTTTTGGAATGTTTGAGCTAAATGTTTTCACATTTTTTCTACAGGTGAGCACACATTCATTGATGTAGTTGATAATTCAAGCTCGAAAAGGGGAGAAGTAAGGGTGATAATCGAATTAAGTTTCAGAGCGGACTTTGAGATTGCAAGAGCAAGCGACGATTACAACCGATTAGTCAGTCGCTTGCCCGAGGTCTTCGTAGGGAAAGCCGACCGACTAAAGGCCTTGATCAAGGTATTGTGTGCCGCAGCCAAGAAGTGCATGAAGGATAAGAAAATGCACATGGGACCTTGGAGGAAGCAAAAATACAAGCAAGCAAAGTGGTTTAGCACTCCTTATGAGAGAAAAGAGGAGGTTAATGCACCAGCAAATCGCGTTAATTCGAGTCAAATTAGCAAGCCTGCACGGGCAGCTTCTATGCTAACAATAGCATTGATGGATATGCATAGGAAACCAGTTGCAGTTGTGTAACAATTCCTCCATTTCGCGGGTTATCATCATTTTTTTTGTATTGTACGTAATCAATGATCCTTCCTTTAGTCTTGAAGAGTGTATAGGAATTGCGGAATGTATTACTAGTAGGTAGAGTGTGTGTTGTAGTTGTGACTTTAGATTGCCAAACATGGCTTTTGCAATAGTGTGCAATCTTCATTTCTTGTTGCTACTTGTCTTGTTAGTTAATACTCCCTCCGTCCCCGAAACTTCGACCCTTTTGGGTTGATTTCGCGGGTATTAAGAAAGTTATTGGAAGTATAAGAGTATATGGGGAAGCTAAGAAAAGTAAATTGAAAAAGGAAATTTACATCGGAATTGCAAAAAAGTAGAGAGAGAAAGTAATAAAAGTTTATAGAAAAAGCAAAATTTGCATGGAGAAGCTAATTTTGCACAAATATTATTGCAAATTAGAGGGTATTAAAGTGGAAATGAGATGAACATTTTGGGACTAAAATTAGGCCAAAAGGGTCGAACTTTTGGGGACGGAGGGAGTAGTAAATTTTATATGGAATACTTGGGCCTCGTTTGGTTGTATATGAGAATTAAACGTTTATAGAAAGTTACAATAAATGGGAATTTTTATTGCCTAGGGAATACTAAACCGTGTTTGGTTGAGATATAGGAAATTGGATTTCCCATGAATTAACTTCCTATGTTTTGTTTGGTTAACTTTATGTAATACCCATATATTATTATAACTTTAACTACTTTTCTAAAATTTTAAGGACAATAATGCAATTTTACCCAAAATACATGTGGGAAGTTTGAGTGACCAAGGTAGGGTGTGGGAAATTAATTCCCATGTTTTGTAGGAATTCCAAATTCCTTAGAAATTTCCACTTCTCACATTTTTACTTTTAAATGTTAACCAAACAACCACCCTTAAATACATTTTCCATGAATTTGGACTAATAAAGTACAATCTAACAAGGCCTTACTCTAGTTATTTAAGTTCATATCAATTTTCATTGTCTTGAAAAATGTATAAGAATTGCAAAATCTGCAGAAAGGTCTGATTAACATTTTTTTGTACGTGAAATAGTGGTTTTTTTATTCAACATTCAAGTCTATTACTAAATAATTCAACCACTTCTTTACTAAATAATTCAACTACTTTAATTTGTTTTTCAGTCGCTAAGTACGGATCGATTCTCACCTAAATCATTCTGGCATTTTTATTTTGGGTGATGGATCCTCAAATTCCCCACATAGTTGATTACTTCCAAGTTTTAAGAGACAAAAGGAAAGGGGCAACATCAAAGTATCAAACCCATAAATATAATTGTGCACAATTGGTCCGAATTTTGGCAACTTGGCCCATCTATTGTGGAAATCAGAAGCCTGAGCCCGTAATATTAAGTTGGGCAAGAATAATCTAGCCCAACTACTCTCTTAATATTTCTACAAAACTAGTTTTGTATAAGTTGGCCTAGTCCGGAATAAATTGGGCCTGAATACGATTAAAATTTAGTTGATTAAAGGGAATACTTAAAAGAAATACTCCGTAAGATGTTTTCTCTGTTTTTTTTAAATACACTAGGTTGATCGACATATTTGACAACAAGACACTTTGATCAATAATATCTTGAATACCAACTGAATGTTGGTGCAGTGGTAATTGGGACTGCTTTTGGTAGGGAGGACCGTGTGTCTGATTCCCCGCAACAACAATTGAGAGGGGATGAAACCTAACCACCCAAAATTGAGCCCCGAATTTCGGATTAGCCCATAGGGCTGAATCGGGTGGAACACCAAAAATAAATAAATAAATAAATAAATAAATAAATAAATAAAAAATCTTGAATTAGCAATATGTATAAATTATAAAAAAATTGATATTCAAAAAAATTATATTGGGACAACTCTAATAATTACACTTGAGTTGAAATGATTCATATCATATGAAAATCATTATAGTTACAAAAAAGGAATTTAAAAATATTCAAAAAGCAAAAAAAAATTCTAGAACATACTTGAACTAAAAGATCAATTACATTCTTACTTTTAGGTTTTGGCATGTTCAGATAATAATATCGGTTAGATGCTAAATTTCTCTCAAACATAACCAAGTGTAAAGAAATCACGGATTCAAGCCCTAATTTTTACCTTTTTAATAAATTGCTTTAGCATATTAAAACATAAAACAAGAAAATTTTCAGGCTCATTTCATTTTGAATCATCATTAATCAATTAATACTTCCTTGGTTAATTAAAATTGCATACACTTCTGCATTATTTTTATGCTAAGGAGTTCTTGATCACATATTTTTACTAATCATTAAAAACAAATTTATTGTTAAAATGTTTTACATTCATTTTAATGTATGCTACAATTAAGTATATTAATGATTAAAATTATGCATTAATAATTTTGTAAATCAAAATGCCACACTTAAAAAATGAAAGACATATGCGAACAATTTGCCAAATTGGTGTTAAAAAATAAATAAATTACGAAAATAGTGTTCACTTAAAAATATTTCTCAAAATAGTGTTCATGTAGGATTGGAAAATACGAAGCTAGGAGTTATAACTTAATGGCTAGAAAAATCATTGAAGAGATGATTATTTCTAATAAAATCCTAATAAATACGTATTAACATATGCATCAAATTCTTTATCATTAACGCTTACAATATCTTGATCTCTGTAGCCTAGAGTCTTAATAATTGATGCTTCTATATTTTAATATTGTAGTAAAAATGGATACAATAATCACTAACCAACCGTATAGATTATGAATACGAAGTATTATACATGTTAAAAAATGTCTAGCATTTTTGTATATTGGATACATGAATTTGTATAATGGGTATTATGACTCTGTGTCTAAGTGCAAGTGTAAGTGTAAGTGGTGCATGTCTAACAAGTTCCACTTGCAAAATCTAATTAACCAACCTTATATGAGTATAATTGGGCAACATATAAGAATAATTATTCATTTTTAGGTTAAATTTTACAGTATTGATTTACATTGTTTAGTCAAAGTTCTAATCTACTTGTCATGTAAGCCCATAGAAATTTCAGTTAGAAAAGAAGGAAAACATACCTGAATAGGACAGATAGAGCGGTAGTGATATCATAGATTGACTATGCTTCCTTGCCGATGTTGCATCTAACATCAATGTCTGGAACAATGGTGAAGTGAACCTGAGAGGACTAGTTTTGAGACTCCTAAAATTTGTTATATACACCCGGGTGCACCGTACACCCAACTAACCCAAGTTTATTTTTGGAAAATTTAACAAGAGCAGACCAACCTTTGCCCTGTTCTCCCAAAATGAACCAACCTTTAAATCTGCCCAAAATAAATCTAAGTTCGTGTTTTTTTCTCTCCTAGTAAACCCAAATGACCAGTGACCGGAAGATCCAGTCATTTTTTTATTTTTCCTTAATTATTTTTTTAGATTAACAAAATAAAATTAAAAAAAATAACTCAAACCATCCTCACCCACTGCCAGCCCCTCCTCCCCCCCTCCCCCTACCGGTGGCCAGCGCCCAACTCACTTCCCGGCGCCGGCTGATTCAATTCAAACAAAATTAACCTTGACCTAGCTCATACTAAAATAAATAAATTCAATTCAACGATTTGTAAAATTCATGAAAAAGGAAAGGGATTATACATTTATACCAGTAAGAGACAACATCATTAAACCTAGAAACCTGCGTGATACGGTGAGGAAGCTTGGAGTGAGAATTGGAAGAATTGGAAAAGCAGAGCAGCGCAGCAATAGTAGCAGCGAGCAGGGCACCACCGCATCAGGTGGTTACGGCAGAGGAAGCACCAGAAATTGCGTAGGGTTGCGCTTTCTTCTTCTTCTTCTTCTTCATCTTCAATCTTCTTTCTATTAGGCGTTTTTCTCTCTTTGTTGATGTTGTGGTTTCCTCTGTTGTTGTGTTTTCTCTCTCCTATTGCTCTTGCTCTTGTGGTTTTCTCGCTTTGGGTGGTGTCGGGGGTAGTAGAAATGGGGAAAGGGGAAGGCTGGGCTGCCGTGGGTGGGGGAAAGGGAAAGGCGGTGAGGTCGACGGCGCCGTGGGAATGGGTTAGGCGCCAGGCGCCGGCTGCCGGCCGTCAGCAAGGGAAGGGGTGGCTGGTGGGGAGCGGGGGGCTGGAATTGATCGGAAGGGAGGGTGTTTTTTTTTTTTAATTATTAAATTTTCAAAATAAAAATAAATATTTTTTTAATTATCGGAATTTTAAAAATAAAAAAAAATTAACCAATGAGAACGTGACACGTGGATTGCAACCTACTATAACAGGTCAAGTGACCTGCTAGGTTCACTACGGGAGAAAAAAAAAATACAGACTTGTGTTTATTTTGGATAGATTTAAAAGTTGGTTCATTTTGGGAGAACGGGACAAAAGTTGGTTTGTTCTTGTTAAATTTTTCTTTATTTTTCGCTCTTCATGAAATGATTAAAAGAAACAATTATCAAAATGATAACAAAATACTCATGAGTGTACGATGCACCCGGGTCTATATAACAATCTCTCCCAATTATTTTTTATTTAGACTTTTAACACAAAGCAATAATAAATTATAGGTTTGGGTTATTTTCCAATCCTACATGGACACTAGTTTGAGAAATATTTTCTAGTGAACACTATTGTCGCAATTAATTTATTTTTTAACACCACTTTGACAAATCGTTCCACATATGCTGTTAGTGGTTTTTTTTTTGGGAAAAATCAGAAGAATTTTGTCATGTTTATATCAATGCCAAGTTAGGGAATTTTTTTTTTTTTTTATATTGCTTTATTCTTCTGTAAGAAGTTTTATCTATTTGGACATGATTGTCTCACAAACAATCATTGATTGAAAAGAAAAAAAAAAGTATCTGGACCTAGACAATGCTCTAATGGAGTATAAACGTTGCACATTTAATACTTTGTTTTCAAAAGTAAACATGAAATACGATATAGCTTAATAACTAGAATTTAGTGTGATAATTTGAGGTTGTACGTGAGAATCTTGTATATTATTATATTTACATTTTAAAAATTAAATTTATGACATAAAAGGTGAAGACTAGAAAGCATCACATTGTAATGCTTAAAATTGTTGACGACTCTCGCCTCCTTTTCTCTTTTCTCTCCTCTCTCCTCTAGGGTTTTAGTTTTATTGGCCGTTTAGATCGGAAGAAATTAGACTATTTTCGATCCTTTTTCTTTAATTTTATTAAGTATTTGTTTGGTTTGCTTTTAATTTGTTTGCTTTGTTTTGTTCTCTCCATTTGTGAGTGTCTGTCTCAATTTTTTTTTTTGGGTTTTTCCCAATTTTGTGGGATTTTGATTCTCATCTATGGATGATAATTTTGTTTTTAGGAATCTGATAATAATTGGGAAGGTGATTTGGATTCATATGGGTTTAGGGTTTGTCATCAACTCTATGATCAAAACATCAACGCAGATTGTGAATGTCTCTACTTGGAAAGATGCACAAACATCGAAAATCATTGCTCGCGTCAGGATTGAAGCGGTGGAGTGTGATCTATGCCAAATATGCAAATTAGTTATGATTTTGATTGGAAAAGTTATGTTAATTTCTCTAATTTGTGGTTTACAAATCTTTATTATTGTAGATGTTGTATGAGTGTATGACTATTTATTAATGATATTATTTCTTCCCGTAAAAAAAAAAAAAAAAAAAAAAAGCATTACATCGTATAAAACCTCTTTTTTGAACACTTTTTAATATACTATGTATAAGGCGGAATTTGGAAACAATAAACACTTGTAATCTATTGTATTCAAAGACATAAAAGTTTAACTGTTTCAACAACATTTAGATATTTATTAAAGCAATCATAATTACATACATTTGATTTGTTCATTCCATGACAAAGACGCAATCTTAATCTAACATTCACGGAATTTGGAAGCATATTTGCGCCTACCAGAGGAATTAGATATACGCAATTTAAGCGTCTTTTTCTCCTGACTTCATGTTTATTACCCTATTTCGTGGGGGACCCTTATTCCACTCTCCCTTCAAATATTTCATCATTTTGATGCTTACAATTGGATATTCCTTCATATTCCCGTTTTATTTTGTGACATACATTCTGCTTTTCCCTTTTTTCCCCTCTCTCTCTAGTAATAGTAGCTGAGGCTCATAAGGTCTCCTATGTAGAGGGTATGTCATTTTGATTAGCTTGTTCGCTAATATTTAATTTTGACTATTAATGTATATAACTACACATTAGTAAAAAATAATAAAAAGTTTGTATTATAATATTCCCTTCATTGTACCATGCAATTAGATATTCGATCATTATTTGATATATGGCCTCACATTCGTCCACTACTAAAACTTGATTAAGTCGAGCACAAGATTGTTTGTTAGCACAATATATTTACCTTATTCACTGGTTTATCTCATAATACCATATATCATATCATACTATGTCAACCCTCGTAATTTTAGTTTTATCTAATATTTACGAGCTAGGTGTTGGGAGGCAAGGAGAAGAGGTAAGAGAGAATCCAACCTCTATGTACCCATACATGGAGTAATAAATTAATCCAAAGTCTATATTATACGTATAAGGTAAAAAATTTACCAAGTGAGCCAAGTCTTATTTAATTAATGGGTTTCTTTTATAGTAATAGAGCAAAATAATAGAAGTTATTAAGCCAAATAATTAATAAGAAAGTGTTTAATTTCACATATAAAGTGTACACTTCATACTAGTAAATTTGTAAATATCATTTAAGAGCTTTCTTGGGAAACTTCATTCTACTTATCTATGGAATATGAGGTAATCAACTAAGTTAATGGTGGATTTGGTAAATAAAATATTCAATAAGTATTATTATTATTATTATATGTTTTATCAAACAACTTCCAAAATTTCTACTTCCATTTAGTGTAATAATTAAAAACAAATAATATAAGAGCTAAATGAGTTTATACTCCATGGGACTTATTTTACGGCATTATGACATTCTATGTTACTCGTACTCTTTATTTTAACTCAATTAATTATGTCGGATCCTCGACACTCAGACATGAGTTGGACACTTCTTTTTTAGTTCAAATCATGGAAAATTTTCACAAAACAGTCGAGTCGAACATTGACCACGTATTTGTGTCGAAAATGGATACCCATATCTCTGTAACATAGATGAGAATATATAGAATGGGATTTTAACATGGTTATTAGTGCTTCGTAATACACTACCAACATTAGAAGTGTTTACACTTATAAAAAGAAGGGGTGACCTAGCTAGAGAGAAAGTGTTTGCACCTCAGTCATAACCTTACATTGTGAGATCAAATTTCAATAGAAAAGAAATTTAGGGTGGAAAATCTTAAATCTCCTACCCTTCCTCTTTATACTACTCTCAAGTCGTAACAAGGTTAAAATATTTAGTGAAAGATACAAAATAAATAATACATAAATAAATAAATAAATAGTGTAACATGTATTTAAGAGAAATTTTGACAAAAAAAGCTTTATATTGATCGATGATTGAAGCTTCTTAAATTCACCTAATTCCATTTACATTCTTTTTACATGATACGTTCAGAGCGATTGGAGGTTAGAAAAGTTGGATATCTCTTTAACATTTAAGTGTGAGGTCAAAATTCAAATTTCACCAATTTCATGATAGAAGGGATTTGTAGGGATGTCAATGGGGCATGTTTAAACTAATATGGATGAAGGTTTGTGGGTAGTAACTAGCTTAGGGTGAGGATGGTAATAAAATTATAATCAACATTGGTGGTGCCCTTGGGGGCTGAGGGTTTACTCTACTTCGTATTATTTTATGTCTAATCCATTAATTTTCAAAAATACTATGGAGTAAAACTAAGTATTCCTTACAATTTAAGCCAATAATTTCAACAATGTTGTTTTATTTTGTTTTCTTAATTCTATGTAACTATATATGAAGTATGTTGAAATGAAACTTAAATTTGACATGCCAGGTAGATTTTGGGGCAAATAAAGTAGGTGGTAGGATGGGATAAGTGGGGTGGTAATTGGGCAGTGATTAAATTAGTTTTGCCCTTGACGAGATCAGATTTGTTGAATTTTATATCCATCATGACTGATTGAACAGTGTTAAGATGAAAATTTAGGCAGGGATGAAAATGTGAGAGCAGCAACATTCATATCTAACATGCTCGACATCTAATCAAGAGTACAAACACAATCATACACTTCAACTACCAGCTTAAATTTTTTTGTTGAATCGATCCTCTATTATAGTATCAGAGGCCAAGGTTGCACAATTCACAAATTCAAATTTCATCCACCTTGACTAAGTATTTCGCGCTTAATATCGTGCTTAATATAAAAAGACTCATTTTTTTTTTCTTACATACTTGAGAGGAAAAAAAGACATTCAAATACGGAGTACTCCATAGTCCTTTTTTCCAATATTCACATTTGTCGCTTTCCTTAGCATCGTATACAATTCGTATACTATTAAAGGACACTTTTATTTAATTTTTAAAGTTATATAAAGCTTTAAGGACACCTTGCTCATACTTTTCAGAATTTTGGGAGATTAATTTCTCCTTCATTCTCCTTGCTATGCCCCTCAAATGATAGATCCTGTCCTTCATCCTCTCTAATTATTGTTTGAAGAGGAGAGAGAAAATTTATATCTTTTGTCAAACTTCAAAAACATTATGCTTTTGACTTTCTCCTAACTACCCTTCTGGTATGTAATTCCTTTTGATTCATATTTTATTTTTGGTTCATTTTTGTTAATTTTTTTTTCTTAATCTCATTTATGGTTTCTGGGTCTTTCTTATTTTTTTTATATTAATAATACATTATTTGTTGTTGCTGTTGATGATGCTATTCTTCATTGATTTCTCGCAGTAATTTGCCATTTTTTATTGTTTAATTTTTTTGGGGTTGTTTATGATTTTTGATAATTTATCTTAATTATGTCTTTCTTTGTTTGTTTGATTGCTAATTTAGTCGTCTATAGCTGTCGTTTTCTGGGTTTTAATTGAATTGTTTATGCATCTTATCTGAGTTGGGATTTTAAAGGGCTTTTAGGAATGGTGTTATTTGACTTTTACTTTTGATTTTTCTTTGTGAAAGTTTTTTTCTTTTTGTGGGTGTGAAATGGTTTCTTGTCAATCATCGCAGGCTTAAGATTTCTGAAATTCGATTCGATTTTCGAAGATTAGTTGGTTTCTGGGTATTCAGAAATTCTGGGCTTGAAGCTCTATTTTGGTTTGTAAATACATAGTGTAATTAGGGTGATGGATGTGGTTTCGGGTTCCGGTGTTGATAGTCTGGGGTTTATGTTTTGATGGAGGAGTTTGTATATTTGGGTGCAAGTAATTTTTGATCATCACATTTTGTAGTTTATAAGGGTTTTGAATTCGTGGGAGGCCAATGGATGAAGAGTCTTCTTCCTGGATTAGGAGAGCTAAGTACTCGCACACCATCTGTCATCGACTTGATTCATCTAAATTGGCCTCCGTTCCATTAAGATTTCGTACAGTTGAAATTCCGAAATTTAAGCCTAAGGAGCCTGATACTGCCCCTGTACGCAAGGTTGGAGAGCCTTATCAGCCTCAGATTCAAAAGAATCCGTTGACAAATAAGCAAAGATCTGTATCACCTCTGCCGGAAACTATTGTTTCGGATACCTTTAAGGAAGCTCGGTTGGAGAAAAAGAGATCTTCTACACCTCTTCCGAGAAGGAAGGAGCCTGATAAGAAAACAATTGATTTTTCTTTTAGTTTTGATTCTCCAGACGGCAGGAAATCCAATGGGAGGAATACTAGTCCATTGAGGAATTTCTCTCCTATGAAAAGTTTCAGTAGATTGAAGCAGAAGAAGGATTCTGGTTGGGCAAAGTACTTTGATCATGGAGGGGGAAAAGTTACATCTGTAGAAGCTGCTGATGATTACATGGTCGATCTTTCACAATTGTTTCTTGGGCTTAGGTTTGCTCATGGAGCTCACAGTCGGCTTTACCATGGAATATACAAGGATGAACCTGTAGCTGTGAAAATTATCCGAATACCAGATGATGACGAAAATGGAAGCTTGGCTTCTCGTTTAGAGAAGCAGTTTAACCGAGAAGTTTCTCTTCTATCACGCCTCCACCATCCTAATGTAATTAAGGTAAACTTGCTTTGCTCCATTTGTCTCTTTATCGGGTAGGGGTTTCTTTGTAATACATGTATCTATGATCTTTGTTACATATTTTCCATTAGTTGCAGCTGATTCTTCTTGATCTAGTTAAATATTTCCTCCGTTCTAGTAATATTGCAACAACTGGACTTTTACACTATTCATCATGCTTGTTTGACTGCATATTATGATTTATACGTAAAGTAAAACAGTCATGTGGGGTGGTGTTAGATTCGTCTCGTAAAATACTTTCACAATATCATCTTTTTATAATTTTTACTCTTATATAATTATAGATATTTAGCATATAAAATGTGCTTTGGGATGCGTAATTTCATCCTAGTTGCAATATTTGTGGAACAGAGGAAGTATTGTTTATGTATGTTTTCATTGAGTTTTGTTCAATCTTTTCATCATCCACCATTGTCTGTTGGTGCTATTGGAGATAGATCTGTTTTGGTTGCTAAACTATATTACATTTGCAAACCATTTGCTATAATTTGTAATCTGTATCTCATATTGAAACTGTGGTGATGACATAATTGAGCTTCCTTTTTGTAATCATTATCAAACTCATACTTATCATATGTACTATTTTGTATGTTTCAGTTTGTGGCAGCGTGTAGGCAACCACCAGTATTTTGCATCGTTGCAGAATACTTGTCGGAGGGTTCTTTGAGGTCATATTTACATAAGCTTGAAAATGAAACACTTCCTTTACAGAAATTAATCCCTGTAGCGCTTGATATTGCTCGTGGAATGGATTATGTGCACTCACAAGGTGTCATTCATCGGGATCTCAAGCCTGAAAATGTTTTGATTGATCAATCATTTCACATGAAAATTGCTGATTTTGGGATTGCTTGTGAGGAAGTACATTGTGATCCTTTTGCTGATGATCCTGGAACATACCGCTGGATGGCTCCTGAGATGATTAGGCATAAGCCTTATGGAAGGAAAGTTGATGTATACAGCTTTGGACTAATGTTATGGGAAATGGTATCAGGAAACATTCCTTATGAGGACATGACCCCTATCCAGGCCGCTTATGCTGTTGTTAATAAGGTTGGTTTGTGTATGTCTTGTTTTTGTTTACTAGGACGTGGTTTTGGCTAGTATGTCTTTGCTTGAATATACAAATTTGCATGTCTTTAATATATCGGAATTTCTTTGGATGGATCAAAACCTGCCTATTTTGCACTTATCTACATGTAATTAATATTTAATTTATTTTATATTAAATGTCAATGGTAAGTTATCCTCTACCATGCCACGTTTCACTCTTAGTTCGGCTTCAAGTCCAATTATTACTTTACATTTAATAAATGTGTCTAATAAGAGTCAAACCAAAAGCTCTCATTAAAGGTGTGAAGAGCTTACTATCTATTCTACTACAATATTTGTGTTTATTAAACCACCTTAACGTTTAATATCTTGTATCCAAAGACGAGAGAAACTTTTCAATTAAATTAAGAAATTAAATGTATTTAAACAATGGGTAAACTTTTATGCACTCATAATTATTATTCATTATATATTCTCATATATATTAAATTTCATTTCTTATCAACAATTACGCCAATCTAACAATATTAACCTCATATTACCCGCATTGACCCGGAGCTTTGCCTAGTTTGAGATTAAGCTGTAAAATGGATGATTTTTAGTTTAGCTTTAGCTATAATCCCCTGTTGGGATTCAATTTTGAGTGGGTTCATTGTAATTTGAATGTACTAGGTTACAAGTCTCTAATGATTTTGTTAATTGTAGTTTGAATAGGTGCAAGCTTGTGCAAGTATAATAATTTTTTCCGGTTTTTTATCACGTCCCCTTGATTCAGGAAGCAAGTTATTTTGGTGTTTTACCAAATTCCAAGCTATCTTATACTTCTGACTGAGGAATTGAGGATAGTATCATTGTCTATTATGAAAGCATTTGATGATGATTGTTAGCTACGAGTATAAGTTAGCAGATTTGTTTACTAGAACTGTTTTCAGCGTTTTCAGTTTATTAAAATAAGATGCAAAATTAGCTACTATCTGACCCAAAAACCATCTGATATTGCAGAATTTGCGGCCTGCTTTCCCAAAGAGCTGTCCTCCTGCCATGAGAGCTTTGATTGAACAATGCTGGTCTGCACAGCCAGAGAAGAGGCCTGAGTTTTGGCAGGTTGTGAAAGTTCTTGAGCAGTTTGAATCTTCACTGGCCCATGATGGGACCTTGAAGTCGGTACAGAATTCTATTTTTCAAGATCATAAGAAGGGATTTCTTCATTGGATACAAAAGCTTGGTCCCCCTCATTCTCATTCTAAGTCAATGCCTAAACCCAAGTTCAATTGACTCTCCTTATGACCTTGCCTTTGTAGTTCAATCAGATTACCTTGTAATTAATAGGCTTATTTTTAGTCTCTGTTGGTTGTATTACTATTTCACATCTATGCAAGTGGAGTCAATAGAGTAGTGGGCATGCTGAGTTTGAACGCTTCTTATACACACTACATGCACAGCAATATGCATTTTGATATTGGAAAAGAGGTTGTTTTTGGTTGCAACATCGTTAGCTTTTGCGGGGCATAATTTCTGATGGCCTTTAAATATAGAATTTTATTTTCTTCTGAACTTTCTTTTCGTTGATTAGAACTTTAGTGATTGGCTGTCATTGTGAATGTTGAATCTCAAGAGGAAAGATATCTGGAAATATTATTGGATACACCCCCCTCTCTTTTTTACCCATGTTTGTGGATATTTAAACTCCATGCTTTACATTTGCCCATAAACATGAATTATGAAACCTTTGTCATCATAGAAGAGTTTTTTGAGTTTTGACAGGGGCTCTGTTTGTCTGTTTGTGTATATTTGAAATGTTTCATGTACTTGTGTGCATAAAGTTCTCATGCCATTAATGTTTGTTACATGAAATCATGTTTTTCAACTTGAATGTAAATTCACCATTGAAAGTAACTGGAGGAGAAGAATTTGTATCTAAAGGCTTCTGATGAGTGAACAACTGAACACCTGCTGCTTTAGCTTCCTGCATTTAAAGAGTCCTTGCATGTAATTGAATCAGGTACCCCTTTTTCTTTCTTTAAGAGATCTTTTGTGCTAATAGAACTCTTCTAATTTCTAAGCCTCTGATTTGTTCGTGTCTAAGATGTTTATTCGTTTTGTCATATATTCTGTTACTCCTGCAGACATTACTAGACTTTGCTCTGCCCGCCCAAGTTTATTCAGGCGAAATCTTAAAAAGGATGTGTGGGGGCTCAAAGCCTGCTAACAGTTTTATACCTTGGGCCTTAAAATTCTATTGCAAGTTATTCCATTGTCAGTTTTTATACATAAGGTCTTGATTTTTGTTTTCTTGGGAATGCAATCTGTTCTCCTTCATTGAAAGTTAATTGTTTGTTTGGGGGTGGGGGGACTGTTAGGCATCAACTATAGGGAGGGGTACTATTGGTAACTTAGCATAGTTTGTCTCGCTTGGAGAGAAAGCAAGTAGTTAGCTCTATAGATAGAAGAGATCAGTGAGAGGGAAGGCATGAAAATATTAATGAGTGTTCCATTTTATTTTAGTTGTAGTTGGAAGAAATATAAGTATCTTGGAAGGTTGAATATCTTACTTTTTTCTGCAATTCACACATCATCAATTCCAATTTATTATCTCCTTCTATTGTGTTTTTCTAGCTTAAATCCAGTTCATCACTAAAGATGTGATTTGACGCATGGTTAATTGCCTAATTGTTTTGTGTGTGTGAGAGAGAGAGAGAGAGAGAAGAGAGGGAGAGAGGTGTTGGGGGGGGGGGGGATGTGGTTAGATTACCAATGAACCAGACTTGTGAGCTGCTGCAAGCTATGCTTGAGTTCACGCTCAAATAGAGTCCTGCTTGAATCCATCTCCAACTCTTAGCTCCCTTGATGAGTCAACCAAGAGCCAGCTAATCTTGGCTAGCTACCTTAGTTATATGAGCATTTAAGGTTATTTTATTGGGTTTGTAGGGAGATCCAAAGGGTTGGATGTAGAAGGAAGTTATGCTCCACGGTCTTGGGTACCACCTGCTACAGAGTTCAGTAACTAAAGTAGTTGAAATCTGCTGAACATGTTACAATTGATTTATAAATATGCAACTAGTCTTCCTCAAGTGCCTGAAATTTTGTTCCATTAGATTATTACTGTAATCTTTCTGTTAGATATTGTTTCCACGAGGAGAATCCATGGTGTAATCTCATGTAAACCTGGCTTTAGCATTTTTCAAGTAATTCATTTCAATGGTGTTGCTTGCTGTTCTGACCAATGACAATTGATTTCCTGTATAAGTAATTCTTTTTTTGTTTTTTTTTTGGGCTTAAATCTGCTATTGCTGTTATTCTGAGCAGTGCTGACACCCTGAGCACAGACCGGTTTGTGCCGGTCCAGTTCTAGTAATATTGCTGTTTGTGTTGCTATAAGCTGCTGTGAAGCACTTCTTCTAACATTGTCGAAATAGAACAAATGCAGCCAATATTAGCTCTATAATCTGGCATATCATAACCCTAGCATGGAACTTTTTTGTGTCTTGATGCTGTTTGATTGCTTGCAGTGTGTTTCTTTTTACGTACTTCGTAATATAGATTATAGAATATATATTCATGTTAATTATATGAACTAGCAGAATCAAGTAGAGCTGCTAGGATTCCTCTGCACTTAGTTGTGTCCTGCCTCTGTAAGCATACATGGCTGGCATCTTTTGCTGATCTATTCCTTGAGCCTTTGACTATCTTCAAGACTATGGAGCTTATGCTATGTGGATTCTTAATTCTAGGAAGGCGGAACTTGTAGGTTATTCATCTGATTTTATCTCGTGGAATTAGTATTGCAAAGTGCCAGAGCTTTAAGTCTCTATTTGGGGCGTTTTTTTTTTTTGTGTGTGTGTGGGGGGGGGGGGGGGGGGGTGCGAAGGGGTGGCTGCGCCTAGAAGTTATATTTTATATTTAACCTTATTGTCTCAACAATAGTCTGTTTGAATGGTGTGATTCTTCTTTTTGGACATCTGAATGGTGATATTTTTATGGACTTATATCAAACACGCTCATAAATAGTTTATTTCGCGAAATTTTGTTGTATACGATGGTGACGAAGTTTTTTTTGGATAGAATGTGAAAAATAATTTAGGGTTTCCTTATATTATATAAGGAGGCATTGGGTGGACAATTAGAAGTGCTAAATATTGATTAATTAGCCTAGCCAATTCAACCCATTATGTAATCCATTTTTTGAGAGATTTTGTGAGATGGAGAGTGTTATATCTCCTTTTGTTATCTCTCTTGTTTATCCTCCATGAAAGCTAATAAGAATATACTATCCCTTACCCCGTGGACGTAGGTCTTGTTTGCCGAATTATGTATATCTTTGTGTTCATCTAATCTATTTTCTACTTTATTTCTCAAATTTATGTTTTATATATTATTGTCTATGTTCCGCACATATCAAACACATAACCTAAATCAATCGATCCTCATCTATTTCCTAACAAATTGGTGTCAAAGCCAGGTTATAGAAATTTTACGTTTAAGGTTTAATTTTTTGGAGTGTTTGATATTTTGTTTGACAACAAAATTCTGATTATGTTTTTTTGAGAAATATTTGGTTTGTCGATGTTTCGATTTATTGGTGTTTGAAGATGAAGTTATTCCAGATTTTGAAGGGGATAGTTTAGGAGACTATGGTGATGAATTTTTATGATCTTTGTGATCTTGACGGTAATTCGTTTATGTCTCGTTTGCTTTATGGTTATTGAAGACTTGATTATTGGCCATGGTTTCAAATTCTCAATGAACTTTTTTTTGTTGATTTTTTTTTTTTTTGGAGATGTTGATGAATTTGGGAAACCGTATTTAAGATTAGAGTTTCTTGGTTATTGATTGCTTTTGATTTAATTTGCAATCTTGATTATTATTGGATGTACAATGAAGGAAAAGTGCTCACCTTGTATCTATCGCGTGCTTAGGAGTTTTTGATGTATTTCCTAGAGACGTGTTTGATGAAAAGTGGTTTGTAGAGAGATGGGTCAATTTTGTATGCATATCCCAAGTATGCTTGACGTGTTGTGACATTATGCTCTCATTAGGCCGTATATTGGCATTACAAGATTGTGTGATCGGAGACACGCCGGTTCACATGTTATTGGTTTACCCATTGGATGTCTCTTATCTTTAGACTAGTGCTTAAATTATTTGTTTGAGGTGGAGTCCGTTCCTTCCAGGACTTCTTTGGTAATTTAATTTACGATATGGATAGATGCTTTCATGATTTTTTGGTTTTTGGTTTGTTGATAGATTTCAATTCAAGGTGGAGATTTGTTAAATATGACTTGAATTCTAGTATCGTATAATGGCAAATGGTCAACTTCAAACGCTCATATCTCTCAATCCAGAAGTGATCTTGAGATGATTCAAGTCGGAGGTGATAGCTTGTTTCAAGATCTTTCCAACGATAGGTCATATGCTCAACTCCAATCAGAAACGAGAAAGTTATGACTGTTTTACAGAAACCTGACGAAGCTGGAAAATTGCGACGAGCGGGCGAGTTATAGCTCTAGGCAAGTGAGCTATAGCTCGGTCCTATGAAGACTTGCGGCAAGGTTTAGCTAGCTGCCAAGCTATAGCTCAGTAGTTCGGTTCTTCAAGGATAATTTATGGGATATTTCCTAAAATTATATCTTTTCTTTGACGGCTATTTGAGTATTCCTTGGGGAATAATTTAGGGTTTCTTTAGGGTTTCCTTATGTTATATAAGGAGGCATTGGGTGGACAATTAGAAGTGCTAAATATTGATTAATTAGCCTAGCCAATTCAAGTCGTCATGTAATCCACTTTTTGAGAGATTTTGTGAGATGGAGAGTGTTGTATCTCCTTTTGTTATCTCTTTTGTTTATCCTCCATGAAAGCTAAGCTAATAAGAATATACTATCCCTTATCCCGTGGACGTAGGTCTTGTTTACCGAACCACGTATATATGTGTGTTCATCTAATCTATTTTCTACTTTATTTCTCAAATTTATGTTTTATATATTGTTGTCTATATTCTACGCATATCAAACACATAACCTAAATCAATTGATCCTCATCTATTTCCTAACAGTTATAAGACTTATAACTCTAAGGCACTTATATAATTACTAATGTTTGGCTAACACCTAAAATAAAACTTAAGATGCTAAAAAATTTAAGCTCCTTAAACAATTAATTTTATTAAACAACGTAACTAGCTATTACCTTTTTTTATTATCTTTTTGTAGGATCTAACTAGCTCGGTGTTGACCAACTGGGCATGGGCTAATTAATTCAACATGCGGGGTGCTTATACCGAACATGAAATAGCAGACCTACATCAATTAAATGTTTCCTCTAGGAGTTCTTCCTTGAGAGAAATTTTCTAGCCTTCATGGTCAGAATTTTTTAATTTTTATTAAAGTTTTCCTTCACTCTTCTCCCTTTTTTCTTTTTTTTATTTCATCTCTTTTTTTTCCTCATCTCAGTTTTTGTGAATCTTTGTAGGGGCTTCTATTGGTTCTGTTGTGTTTAATTTTTTTGTTTGTTCGTTTGGTGAGGATTGAAGATTTAGGCCAGGGTTTCATAATCTCCATAAATATCTAGAGGACCACTACATGATGAGTATTTTTCACCCAAACGACTATGTATCAGTGGATTTCAAGCTAAATTCATTCTAACTCACATATTTTATTGCTTTAGATGAAGTCATTTTATTAGGGCGATAGATAATCAAATCTGCGATGTAATTAGTTCTACGATGTTATGCTTTATTCTTGCTCTTTTTAATAATGGTTAGGTGGTTTATAGCTTGCTAAGTGACTGATGATATACTTTATCAAATCAATGATAGATATAGTTCTTTCACACTGCATGGTATGTGGTTTTTGTTAATCAGTAGTTCAATTATTATCTATTTAAATGTGTTTAAATTAGATTATTTTGTTGTCGATTAGTATGTGATCAGTAGTACCCTAAGCTACCGATATTAAAATCCTGGCTTCGACACTGATGATGATGTAGTCCAAAGTCCAAGATCTTGTACATTTCAAATGATAGAACCTCCTAGGCTCCTACTGTTGAGTGACCTCTAGCATAACCGTCCAAATATACGTACATAAATGAGCACATACATACGTTACTTAAGCATGCACACATTCACTCAGTCAAACAATTTCTAATTTATGTCAATTCAATTATTAATAACCAATCATCATTCATTCATCTGAGTCAATGGAAGGAAGTTTAAGTTTGACCATAATAGAAATTAGTTCCCATGTACTAATTCTAAGAATTAAAGTTCCTTGGACGTCCCCATGGATAGTAGAACATCCAACATTAAGTTGTTATTTCGGCTATATATGTTGAATAACGTTAATGTAATCCAAGGAGACCACAAGAAATTATCCCTATTAATTTAAGTGTGAAACATAAACTATTACCCTTTTAACTTGTTCCCATTATGTCTGTTATATCTTGATGTTTACTTATAGTACGTACTTTCCTTGTTGTTATGTGAAAACTACAATTATATAAATATATTATATAATATAGTTTTTATATATTTCGTCACATGATGATGCATATATATATAGTCAAGCGTCGTCAACAAAGATTTGTCAAAAGCAGGAATATATGCGCAACCCCACACCCTTAACCTTTTTGGACCTTAAACTTTTGCTTTGTTAATTTATTCTCTCTATTATAAGGTAATTACTCCCTTCATACTACTAGCGTAATATATATATTAATACTTTTTTTGGTCATTTCTGCCCTTTTATTTTCTTATAAATACCTAGTTATTGTAGTGACATGAATTAAACAACATACACTCACTTTAGGTATTAAGTGATCTATTACTCAGTGTTAGCATTTTGTTGCAAACTAGCTCATCAATAACCATGAAAAGATCCTCTAACTCTTCTTCATCCAAAAGAGATAGGAAAACCATCGAGAAAGAGCGTAGAAACCAAATGAAGAACCTTTGTTCCCAACTCAACTCCCTTGTCCCTCATGATCCTTCCTCCTATCCAAGGGTCTCTATCTCAATCGATCTTTTATTTTTAATGCATTTTACGTTATTAGTATTGCATTATACTATATTGTGCATCATAATACTACATACCTCAGTTTAAATTTAGTTACAGTCATCACTAGTCTAGCTAAATTATACTATATATATGACGCAAGAATTAATTCTAGACGCGAGAGTCTCACATATATCTTCAAAACCCTAACCTCCACCCTGTGAGAGGTGGGAGATAAAGCGTAGTTCAATTATATCATTAACCTAGTCTAGTCTAGAGTTGTGGAAATAACTATTAAGATACATTTTAGAGTAACAATATATTTTAGCGTTATATAATTTGAAGATAGAAACGTTCGAAATTAAATCAAGTTTTTCATTATTTTTTGCATGCTCTAGCTTCAAAACCCTACCTTTATCTTCTGAAAGGTGGGAGGTTTGTACTTGAGATCGGTCGGTTAAAAAAAATAAAATTATTTGATGATGTACTACTAATTAAATAATTCACTCTTACCACAACAAAATGGTGCTACAAATTAAGAACAAAGAATTATTTGGCTCTTTCTTAATTATTTATGATCAATATAATATTTACTAGTACTATGTTTATATAAATAGTGGAGATTAATAATGGTATATGTATATGAATTATGCAGGCGGTTCCTGATCAAATTGGAGACGCGACAAACTACATAAGGCAGCTGCAAGAGAACGTGGAAAATTTGAGGCAAACTAGGGATGAGCTGCAGGGTGCCGGAGGGTCTAGTAGCAGTAGAGGGGGCTACTCCACGAATTCGCCGGTCCAAATAGAAGTGACTGTTAATGGGAGTGCCATAGAGGTGACTTTGGTAACTGGATTGGAGTGCCAGTTTGTATTCACTGAGGCACTCCGAATTCTGCATGAGGAAAATGTTGAAGTTGTGAATGCAAGTTATTCTGTTGCTGAAAACATTGTCTTTCACACCATCCATGCACAGGTATATACGTAGTTTATTATTTTAATTTATAACAACGAATACACAATTATTATAAATACTTGTGTATGTACTATGATTTCAAGATAGAAAAAATATGTGAGAAAATTAGGGATGAGGGTTAATTAAATAAATAAGTAGGGTATTTTGTTAAAAAAATAAATAAATAAATAAATAAATTCTAAAACGTCACTTAATGATTTCTAAATATGTTTTGTTCAATTAGTTACCTTGGTTTCTTAGTATAGTCCGATCAGGGCATGGCCTAGCTTGCTAACTGATTTTTTTTTGAAGCAAGCTTTGCTAACTGATTTTGACTAAATTAAAATTAGGTTTACTAATTAAAAAAGTATTTTTTAACAGATTGATTTTCTTGCCGATTAAAATTCATTATTTTTTTAATAATATTTGCATAACAAAACTATTTTTGTTTACGATTGAATGTCACTCAATTGGAAACAACCTTGATTGATTCTTAACAATTAACAGTTAAAGCGGATGGATGATTAAAAAAATAAAATAAAAATCCCTAATTTGACTGGTTTTTGTTACAAAACCTATATTATGAAACAATTACTACATACCTTGTACGTATACAAAACCAGATTGGAATATATATATTGAAACTTGAAAAGAAAAAAAAAATAAAAATTAACATTGGTTTTATAATCTTTTGTAGTTGGGTGAAGCTGCATCAAGCAATGCCGTTGCAAGGATTACTCAGAGGTTGAAGAACTTTGAGCTCTAAGTGTTGGGGTTTGGATATATGCTGATTTACCTAGGCATGATGAAAGTTCATGACCTGGGATCCATAATAATATATGGGTTTTATAAGTAATGTCGATCATTAGATCTTGATATAATAATTTCAAGTCGTTCTTATATGTTTTACATGATGATGGATATCATCTATCTACTAATATAAGCTAGTGATTGTCTTGTATTATTGTTATGTTTCTGATTCGACGTAATCAGCCTATGTAATATATGAAAAGCTTGTCGTTCGTGAGAACTTTGTATGGTTAATCATGTGCCTTAATAGCATTGTCTCATGTTTTTATAGTATTTGGAAGCAATGTTATCTTCATGCATGTTATTGAGTGCACACAAGATACCAAATCATTGTTACTTCACCTATGGATTAATTATCTTCATTTGACAAGTCGAATTTAGGCGTGTGGTTAGTTGTTGCAGACTTGCAATAGGTTTGTGACAACCAGTACATAAACCTTTGTCACATCCATGAGCATGAGACAATATGTGTCTATAATATTCCCTACTCAACTACATTAACCTCTTCTTGTATCATATCATGTCCCGGTCTGATAAGTACGCAAGAGTTATTAGATTGTCGCTCCAAAGTAGTACACCACATCGCCTGATGATACTCCATAGCTAGCTAATGATTCAAGTATGTATATATATATATATATATATATATATATATATATATATATATATATATTGGAACAAAGGGACTCTTAGCTTATTAATGAAAATTTTGGTGATGGGATTGGTATGCAGAAGTGATGAAAAAGGTGTATGTAATAAAACAATGGTAGAGTCACTAATTAATTAGGCCTTAGTAGCTTGGGGTTATAAGTTGTGGTGCTTAATTGGGACAAGCTAAGTCAAGATCGAATAAAAATGGAGTTGGTACTATATGATGATACACGAGGACGGTTTAAAAGTATTAAGCAAAAAACTATGTTGATCTAAAATAACTCTGAATAATACACTAAGACAAACATAAGCCATTGAAAATTTCGACTTCAGAAAAATCCAGCTGCTTCTCCTTTTGCCTTGGATCATAGCTCACTGAAGTACACAACTTATCTTTGTTATCTAGTGTTAAGAGCACTACAAAAGTAGATAATAGATGGTATATATATGTGAAGATGTTTGAGAAGCTCTTTGTTATATATTGACGCCATGAATGGTTGGAGACGCGCGCATTGGTGTGGGGAGAGTGCGGTGGGCAGCTATGGGGTTGTGTAGAGAAGGATAAGAGGTGAAGGTTAGTTGGATGTAGGCGGGAGAAAAGCAATGACATAAATTTCATTATGATCTTCAAATTACTGACGGCCATGGTAGTCGGTGAAAATTAGAGAAAAAAAAATTTTAAAAAGTAGTTGTAAATTTTTTATAGACAACAGTATTATAGACTGTTTACCTACGGCTTTGAATTGTTGGTAGGTAAAGACGCTTCTTCTGGCAGTACGTGAAAAAGGTGGATAAAAGAAGTGAAAATGTATACGCATTAAAATAAGGTGGATAAAATAAAAAAGAAAGAGTAGAAACATGTATGTAAAAAGATGTAAATTATATATTTTGATTAAGGGGAAACTTGTATAAACTACACGTAGTACCAGGAATTTAATCCACACATTCTCAATTTAACATTTTAAAGTAGTTTTGCCTTTATTTTTGACAATCGGACATCATAAATTTAAATAATTTTCTCACCTTCAATTATCTTTCTTCAATTTAAGATTAGTTCTCAAACACACTATTCGTATACATACTTTTAAAATAATCTAAAAAAACTAATTATATGTATACCATTTGGATTGTAAGGTTAACTTCGTTGGAAGGCTTAAACTTTATTGATTAATTAAAAATACTCTGTAGAATCTTAAATGAGGCAGTGAAGTAGGTAAGCATAGCTAGTGAAAGATAAACTAATACTTTGTCACGAATTAATTTTCCGTAGTTGTATTAGAGTATGAACAGGTATATATATAAAACCTATCAGAGAAACTAGGGCTCTATTATATTAGCCCGTACACTATACATTATATACGGGCCTTACACCCCCCCCCCCTCAAGTTGGAGCATGCAAATCACAAATGCCCAACTTGCCAAGCAAATACAAGAATTGGTTTTTACTCAATGCCTTAGTGAAAATATATGCTAGTTGATCCGTTGTTGGTACATACGACGGACTAATGACCCCTTCCTGAATTGCATCCCGAACATAATGACAATCAACCTCGATATATTTAGTGCGTTCATGGAAGACAGGATTCTGCGCAATATACAACGCAGATTGACTATCACAAAACAAGCTCATCGCACGCGGATGCAAAACTCCCAAACTGTAGAGTAGAGACTTCAACCATTTTAACTCATCAGTAACTTTAGACATCGAGCGATACTCTGCCTCTGCAAAAGACTTAGAAACAGTATGTTGCTTCTTAGTCTTCCAAGAAATAGGGGAACCACCAAGAAATACCAACCAGCCAAAAATCGATCGTCTCGTCAAAGGGCAACTAGCCCAATCCGAGTCACAGCAACCTGTCAAATGTAAATTGCAGTCTGAACTCAGAAGGATTCCTTGACCCGGACAACCTTTCAAATAGCGAACCGTACGAAGGGCCGCCTCCCAATGATCTTGTCAAGGTTGTTGCATAAATTGAGACAAGATATGCACTGCATAGGCCAAGTCAGGTATAGTAAAAGACAAATAAATCAAGTGACCCACAATACGGCGATACATTTCGGGGTCTGCAATAAGAGGAGTCTCCGATTTAGCCAGAGTATGATTTTGCTCAATAGGAGTACCTGCTGGTCGTGCCCCTAGCAAACCAGACTCTGCAACAATATCAAGAGTATATTTCAATTGACATAAAAATATGCCTTCCGGGCTCCGAGCAACCTCAATACCAAGAAAGTATTTCAGCACTCCCACATCTTTCATATGAAAACAGTCACTCAAATATGATTTGAACGTTGAAATTGCAGAAGAATCATTCCCAGAAATTATTAAATCATCAACATACACCAGAACACTAAGATGAATAGCCCCATGATTCATAGTAAAGAGAAAGTAGTCAGAGTACGATTGCGAAAATCCGTACCTTTTCAGAGAGGAGGCCAATTTTGAGAATCAACAACGAGGTACCTGCCGTAGTCCATATAAAGATTTCTGAAGACGGCACACCAGACCATATTGAGGACCATGAAACCCAGGAGGAGGTCTCATATAAACCTCCTCATCCATATCGCCATGTAGAAAAGCATTGTGAACATCCATTTGGTGTAACTCCCAATTTTTCGCAGCGGCAACAGCAAGAATCGCACGAATAGTAACCATTTTAGCAACAGGAGCAAATGTCTCGTTATAATTGATACCCTCAACCTGATGGTTACCAAAGATCACGAGACGAGCCTTTAGTCTTTCAACCGAGCCATCTGAGTTAAGCTTAACCTTGTACACTCATCGGCATCCAAGAGCTTTCTTACCCGGAGGTAATTTCTCCATGACCCACGTACCATTATTTTCCAAGGAATCTGCCTCGCCTCCCTCCACCCCGCATCTTGCATAGCTTCCTTGAAATTACGCGGCTCAACCACCTTCTCAACCGTTGCAATAAATACACGGTGTGGCACAAAAAATTTATCACAATTCACAAAATGTGCTAAAGGATAGGGAGTACCTGAGGAGCATGAAGTAGACGATGAACGTGGAGAGATAGATGGACCGGGTAGAGAAACAGTATGGGCCACATAATCACGGTGCCATCTTGGAGGGTACCTTAGACGTTGACCACGTCCCAAATCAAGAGGAGAGGAGCTTGGAACCGCCCTTGGGTTGCTGACCGTAGCACCATCAATACCAGCAGCAGTAGGCGCCACAGGTGGGTCGCGGTCAGCACTGGGCTCCGCAGGTGGCTGCGGTCCAGGCTGCCAGCAACAACAATAGAGGAAGCAGCAGAAGGGGTAGCAGCAGGAGATGCGGGTGAGTCAAGCACGGTGCCTTCACTGCTATCCTGTGAAGCCAGCTCGTTTGAGGTGTCACCTACCTCAAGAACATGTTCAAGATCATCCAAGAAATCGAAGTTAACTCCACCAACAACATTAGGCATTTCGTCGACACTTACATGAGAATGTGTGAAGTCACTACTAGCCACAAATGGGAATTCATTTTCATGAAATTTAACATCACGAGAAACAAATATATCACCCGTGTCTAAGTCGTACAACTTCCAACCTTCTTACCATGAAAATAGCCCACAAATACACACTTTCGACTTCGAGGAGCAAATTTGTCACCCTTAGATTTTTTATTATGAGCAAAACAGAGACACCCAAACACCCGTAATTCATCAAAATTTGGTTGTTTGTCGAAAATAATTTCAAATGGGGTTTTATTGGATAACAAGCGGGATGGAGTGCGATTAATCAAATAAACCGCCCCAAGGACACATTCCCCCCAAAGAGTAATTGGAAAATTGCCTTGGAACATCAAAGCCCTACTAACATTTAGAATATGTTGGTGTTTACGCTCTACGCGACCATTTTGTTGAGGTGTACCAACACAAGAAGTTTGAAAAGAATGCCATGTTCATTAAAATAGGTTAACATGTGTTTGAACTCCGTACCATTATCACTCCGTACGCATTTCACAGTAACATCAAATTGACATTTTATCATGGCAAAGAAAGAACAGAAAGAAGAATAAACTTCATTTTTGTCAGTTAACAGATAGACCCAAACACCTCTAGAATAATCATCAACAATAGTAAAAAAATAGTGAGCACCACAAGTAGAAGGTGTCTTATACGAACCCCATAAATCACAATGTAGCATTTCAAAAATTCGACTAGCTCTACTATTACTATCAGGGAAACTATCCCGTGATTGTTTAGCTTGGGGACAAATTTCAGAAGCCTTATTCAAAAATTTTCTACTAAAACTAGCACTAATAGCAGGCACTAACTTGACAATATTGTCTGACAAATGTCCCAAACGACGATGCCACAACTCAAATGTAAAAACCTCTGTGTTCGTCACCGCACATACTGTAGGAATTCGCCGGAAGTAGTAGAGTCCATCTATCCGTTCACCGGCTCCAATCAGGCTCCCCGAGCGTTGGTCCTGTATAACACATAAAGAGTCAGTGAATCGGACAAAACAATGTGAATCATCAATCATTTTTGACACCGATTTATTAAGTTGCAATTTAATTTCGAAACAAATAAAACATTTTCAAGGATAATGCCATCCGCCAGACACACTCGACCCTTCTTTGTAGCCATAGCATGAGCACCATCCGGAAGCCCGACGGGACATGGAGTTATAGAGGTCACATCCAACAGACAAGAGTCATCATCAGTAACATGATGAGAGGCCCCAGTGTCGACTATCCAAGACAAGGAAAAATACTCACCGGTCATCTTATCATGTTCACTACAAGAAAACAGCTAGATTCCGACGGAAATTTTCCGTCGGAAACATAGGAAATTCCGTCGGAATCAGGCTTTCCGACGGAATTCCGTCGGATTTAGTTTGTCGCAACAGCCTTTGTCGAAAATTCGACCTTTTCCGTCGGAAGCCGTTATTCCGACGGATCTAATTCTGTCGGCACTGTTTTTCACTTTATTTGGAATTCTGTCGCAAATTTTCGACGGAAATTTCCATCGGTGGTGGGTAGGTTTCCGACGGAATTTTCCGTCGGAAGAGGTATATTTCGACGGAATTTTCCGTCGAAAAAGGTATATTCCGACTGAAAATTCCGTCGGAAAAGTCAATAAAATAAAATAAAATAAAATAAAATAAAAAAACAGACCCACCCCCACCCCACCTGCCCAGACCACCCCCACCCACACCCACACCCAGCGCCACCCCCTACCACCTGCCCCCTGACTACCCCCTACCCACCCACACCACCACCAGCCCACCCCACACACACCACCAGCCCACCCCCTGCCCCCTGCCCCTCTGACTACCCCCTTACCCACCCACACCGCCACCAGCCCACCCCACCCCCTGCCCCCTGCCCCTACCCCCTGACTACCCGCCACCCCCACACCACCACCACCTACAAAAAACGCAAAAAAAAAACCGAATAACCCAAAAAAATCCAAACAAAAACAAATTCATCCATAGAAACGCAAAAAAAACAAGCGAATTAATCGAAAAATTAAACAACGAAATTCAAAAATTAAACATCCGAAAAAAACCCAAATAAACAAAATTATATCAACACAATTTAATTAAAAAAAATACCGAAATTCATAACATCGAAAATTAAACAACGAAAATCAAAAAAATTATATAATTACACAATTACAATTACATAAAAAATTCAAAGATCTACAAAAACCTAAGATCTACACTCACACCTAAGCTGTTTTGGCTAGTACATGCGGCTGCCGGCGATTTCGATTGTCGATGACGTGTGGCCGGCCGTTGATTGTTGTTGTTGTTTTAAAAGAGATCGATCTACAAGTGGGGAAACGAAAACGAAACGAAAAAGAAAAGAAAGAGGGGAAGAGGAAAAAGAAACAGCGAAGAGGAGAGGAAGGAGAAAGAGGGGAAGAGGAAAGAGGAGTTGCGCCGAGGAACGAGAGCATGGAGAAGGCTGGAAAGGAAGGAGAAAGAGGAGAAGAGGAAAGAAGAGAGGAGAGAGAAAGAGAAGGGAGGCGGGGAGAGGAGGGTCGGAATGTCCATATATTCCGACGGATGTTTATTCCGTAGGAAATCCGTCGGAAATTTCCGACGGAATATAAATCCGCCGGAATATATAGGATTTCCAACAGAATTTGGTGTCCGTCGGAATCTGGCCTTTTTCTTGTAGTGGTTGCCTATTATTAACCATATTCAACAACAGACGAACATGCTCGGGTTGGAGTTCGGATAAAGCCGAAAGAGTGTCTGGAGAAGGCACCGACGAGGCAACACCAAGTGGGCTGCCCACGGTATGTGCTCTGACCGTGGACTTGTTGTGTTCCATAGCAGGCGAGGCAGAGAGCCCAGTAGTAGCAGCTGACCTGCTACCAGGCATAGAGGTAGCTTGTCCAAAAGAAGCACCTCCCCCTTTTTTACCATATTTGTCCAGCCACCATTGGGGGTAGCCATGAAGCATAAAACAGCCAGAGGTGTCATGGCCAGCCCGTTTACAATGAGAGCAGAAGAGGCGCGATTTGTCAATGCGAGGCGTCGACTGAGATGACTTTCGGTCAGGAGGAAGAGCAAACACATGGGCTTCATCCTTGGACGTTAGGGCCTTCACTTGAGCAATACCTCGAGATCGTTCCTCCTGAAGAAACAATTGTAAAACACGATCAAGAGTAGGGTCAGGTTGCTGAGAAAGAAGATTCGTGCGAACCACAGCGTAGCGATCATCATCAACACCAATTAAAAACTGATGCAATTTTTCTTCCTCCTTATCAACCTCATACTTGGCAGCCACGTTACAAGTACACAAACCGCATTCGCACCCATGGGGAGGTTTAAGGCGATTGAGATCATCAAACAACCCCATCAAGGTGTTATAATAGTCCTCGATGCTCATGGTGGGTGATTGCTTACAACCAGTAATAGCCGCGCGAAGTTGTTGCAAACGCGGGCCATTAGCTTCACAGAAGCGCTTCTCCAAGTACACCCATAGCTTATGTGCTTCTTCAAAATAAGGCATGGAGGCTGCTAATTTCAGGTCAATTGCTTTCAATATCCAAGAAACCAGCATCGAATTGACGGTTTCCCAATCCAACAACTTCATCTTCTCGGTTGGTTTGGAGATGGAACCATCAACAAACCCGAATTTTCGCCGAGATTTCAACGATAAGGTAATAGCCCTAGACCATGCCAAATAATTATCACCCTTCAAGAACACGTGAGTAATCAAATTTCTAGGTTGATCACCAGAACCAAGATAAAAAGGAGAGGAGGGATCAATCTTATCAGCCATGCATATGATCGATCACGCAATAGAGAAATTAGAGTGTTAAAAAAATTTAGTGAGGTAGAGATTGTAGAGATGGTAGAGATTGTGTTTTAGGGTTTAGAGTATAGAGAGAGTATAGAGGCTCT